ATCCTTCATTTATCTGTATTACCCTGTACTTATTTTTAAATAACCTTGATGATCTAAATCCTTATGTTTCTAATTATATCAGCTGTTCAATGTAAATATATATCAGCTGTGAACTGGGGAATTTATTAGACTTTTACCTGTGTCCCTATACTTCAAGATATGTCATCACTTTCTTTATTAACTTTCTGCTGTCAGAAGCATAAGGTGTTCAACTCAACCCTGAATTCTTCAACTCCTGCAACCCATATTTTCCAAGTTTGTAAATCTTCTTGCTGTCACCTCTGAACAGTGAGCTTTTAACATTTTCTAGTACTTTTTCCCAGACCCTGCTGTTGATGATTTATCCTAGTCTCCTAAAATCAAAACTTTTAACCTGTCCAAAATGGACTGGTGTTAGGAAAAAAACAACCCAGTCTATGTCAGCATAGTTTCCAAAAATCTTGTATAAGCTTTTGCTACATCTTCAGAGCATGTGATGTCTCTGTGCAAAGACCACACACAATTGCACTCCCCAAATTGCACTGCTCACTGGCAGGGCTGAGGATCTCAGCCTGGAACTGTTCCCCACTCCTACTCTGGTCAACACACAGTGGTTTTTGTAGTGTATTTCATGATTCTGTAGAACAGCCATCTTGATTTTTAACATGATCTTCTGCTTTTCCCAGTGTAAATTAATTTGTCTTTTCCAACCTCTAATTACATAGCTTAGATGCGTGCAAATGATGAGATTGAGCAAATCATATTTCCAGGCATCCTTTCCATGATTCTGTTTGTTTTAAGCTTTTTTTTTAATCTTAACTCATATCAAGGTAACTGCTGCATCTTATGACACTTATATGTACACACACACACACACACACACACACATATATATATATATACACATATATATGTAAACACACAGGGTACACTTTGAGAGAAAAAGTGCTCTATAAACTATGTTGGATTTTTATATTTTTTTATATGAGATTCTGTCTTCAAAATTCATAAAAATGCATGTTTGTTTATCCTAAAGCCTGGAGAGGCTCGTTCTGTGTCATTCCTGTCTCTTGAGTAAATATATTAATCATTCTTAGAGCAAAAAAGTATTATTGACTTGAGTGATTAGAAAAAGCTCTTTCAGAATCAGTTTAGCTGATAAAGTACATAAATACTTAAATTACTGGAGGCAAAAAAGGTAAAAGAAACCAGTCAAGCACAACTTATTTTGCATCCTTGATGTGTGTGTAGGTATTAGGAATCAAACTCTGTGGACCACATATAAAATAATTACAATTTGTATACAGGTTACAAGCAAATTCCAAAGAAAGGGCTTATTCAGGAGTGTAAGTCATTGCTAGAAGTGACCATTTTATTTTGGGTTTATCTCAGCATAACTGTTGAAAGCCATGTGCCAGTTTGTGCACACGTGAAGGGGGAAGATAGGTTTGCATTTGTTACATTGTGCGGGAGGGTGTTGGTTTTTTTCTTCAAGTGAGGAAAGTTGTATTCATTCCTCTAATTAATTTCAGTGTTTTAGGATAAGAAATGTTATATTTTTCTTGCATAACGTAGTCTCATAGAACCAAGCACCATTTGTGTTGGACTCACAACATGGCATTTTTGAAGTGCTTGGCAATAAAGAGGATGATTTCCCATACTTTGTTCAAACACCTTTAGGGCAGAATACATTTAGAGCTGTGGATTTTAGCATTCACCATTTAAGGATGATGCTTGTTAATATTATGTACTTTTTCAGAAATATTTTTTTCCATCCAGGAAACAAACATTGTTTAAGACTTGAAATAATTGCTTTATGGAATATTCCTGCCCTCTGTCAGTACACAGATAATAATGATGTAAATGCATTCACCCTTCTGCTTCTCACAGTTTAGTTGTAATTTTAAACCATAATTTTATGCATCTCTTTGGGAATTTCAGTTAGAAGAGGTAGCATCACTCAGTCTTTGGTAGGACTTGGGACTGCACCATATTAAATATTGTCCATATAAAACAACTGAAAGGTTGGCATAATCCCCAAATAATTGACATTGTTAAGATTCTCTGGAAATAGCACCATTACTGGCAAGAGGGAACACCCTTTAGTTTGTGTATTGGTCTTAATTCATGCATCTGCACTACAGTATATCTTACAAACCTGACCTTTGCACATAACTGTAGTAGCTTTTTCAATGACTTGCATTATAAGTAGGCTGGGAAGATCCATACACATACCATTGCACTAAAAGCATGAATCTGCCACATAGATGAATGTTTTAACTGAAAGGAAAACATCAGAGTTGTGGGGAAACCTGAAAAATGTTAGAAAGCAATTATATCAAGCTTGTAATTAGCTGTACTGTGGGCTAATGTTACATTTTTCCTAGTCCCTTTCCTAGTGAAAGGTGCTTTCACTTGCAAACCAAGTGAGGAGACATCTTCATTGAGAAGTCTCTGTTTTCTCTGTGTAATAATATTTTTGTTTGACTGTCTTGACCTTCCAGCTAAAAATCAAGTGTCACTGTCATCAGTGAATTTTCTGAGTTGAATGAAGATATGAAGTGGATAAAGGTGTCAATTTATGTTTGCAAACTTATTGTGAGATTATGTTATCTCCATCATATCTCTTTGTTCAACTTATATTGTTATTTTAGCCCAAAAAAGGCCAAAGATCGTCAACGAAAGTGCATGTAGAGTAAAGCTACTCCTGTAAAATTGATGATCCATCCAATTATTTATCTATAGAGGCTGCTGGGAAGAAACGCAGCTATCTCAGTTCTCAGACCCCTCTGCTAGGTTGAACTTCATGGCTGAAGGTTTAATCCCTAAGTGTCATATCAACAATTCATTCTGTGATATTCTGGCTGACATGCTCTCCTTCCTTATTTATTGATGTCTTCAGTCATCGACAATGAGAGGAAAATACACTATTCGTCAAAGTGACGGTGTTTTACCCTCACTTACAGTTGATGCTGCTGTCACATTGATGGTTGGAAAATAAACTCAATCATTATAAAAAGCTAAGAGTGTGAACTTGCCAGTGACAGGAAGAAGATGAAAAAAAAAAAAAATACAAACCCACAGTAACTTGCTTCAAAATTGGTGTAATAAAAATAAAACTGTTCCCTACAAAGATATTTTTGAGCTTTGTTCATGAGATACCAAACCATTTTAGCCATGTATTTTATATTTATTCGTTTGAAGGAAGATCTGTACCTCGTACTCCTTTATGTCTGCAAACATAAATGTAATTTTTAGCACTAAATATACTTCTTATCATTTCGCCTCATGCTACTAGGTTGGTAATTTGTTGATTTTTCCCCTTCTCTTTTAAGAGATTTTGCTTTGTTTTTTTTTTTTTTTTTTCCTCCCCTGGATTATATTGAACACAAATTTCTGTTTGTTAGTATTTTGAGTGCTTTAATGAGGAAAAGCTCAGTATAGTTTCATCCTTTGACATGCAAACATAAGCAAGGCTCTTGTAAACCACTTTCTGAGGCTGCCATTTGTGTAACTGCGCTGCACTGTGCAGCCTTTTTAACTCCAAACCCATGTATCTTACCACATTTCACCTTTGGGAGGCATTGTATATACAGCTAAAAGTAAAGAGCAGCGAGCCAAGAGGGACAAGATAGCATAATGAGGATGTCAATTTGTGGTCAGAGGAAATATTTATCTTACTTGTACTATACTTGGCAACTGATAGAGAAATATATATGTAATGAATTTCCTCAGACTTTATCTGGCAGACTGTGTACCTTGTGTTAAATGGATTTAAAAATAACATTGCTTGTCTCAAACTTTTAAAGTTTGAGGTGATTCTACTTTGGATTGTTCCTTGAAAATGGAAAAAAATCATAATTGTGTTTACTAACATATTGGTGAAGTTTTAATTATCCATTTCTCAAGGCTCCCTGAATAATGACATTTAGGATCCCACTCACTCACCAGAACAAAAGCAAGGTGCTTTTTTTTGTTGTTGTGTAGGAAAAAAATAGCCATGTTTTTGTAGTTTTACTGTTTTGGTTTGTATCTCTGGTAAGCCTGCTAAGTACCCTAAATGAACATGCACAGAAATGCTGGTTGTCTCACACGTGCTGTGTGTCCTGAGGCAAAGCTACAGCTGCTTCAGCTCCTTCTGCCTGCTTCCCCATCTGTAAAATGGGAATGATTTAACTTATTTTTCTCCTTCGGGGAAATACAGGAAGGGTTTCTTAATATTCTATAGACCTTTGAAGATTAAAATCTCTTCTCTATACTTGCTGCTAATATTTCAGTGTTAGAGTAGCATTTGATTGAAGCTGTTTGAAGAGTAAAGTTTTGGCATCTTGTGTTGTCTTTGTACCATATCTTGAGGCCCCTCCACTATAATTTTGCAACCTTTGGTTCAGCATAAGCTGCGGACCCAAACAGCCCCTGTGTAAACAAACAGTGATGACTATAAATTAATGTCTCTGCTGTTGAAACATCAGGAGATTACAGCCTATCTCTAAGCCAGCCAGAAACAGTCCATGGTGGAGCAAAGCAGACACCAGTAACTGGGCTGAGCCTGAAAAAGCTTTCATTTAAGCATCAATGGTAAGTGCTGAGAGGCACTGAGAGAGGTTTTCTTCTAATATGACTTCTGTGTCTTTAGATGTACAAGGATGGCTGGTGTTTTAGCAAAGGCTTACTGACTTCCTTGGGCTTAAGGAGTAGATGGGAAGTATGAGCACCCAGCATCTAGAGCAAGTCTGAAAGTCTTCTTGCCTTTGTTTCACAGAACAAAGGTCAGCATCAATTCCCAGGGTGTAGACAATCTCAAGAGACTACAGAGGGGCAGCTTCTGGTTTGCTTCTTCAGTTTTATGTTATTTAAAAACTTAAAATTTAATATAATGATGAATTCTTCTTTGCAGTTAGGAGGAGTGATTAGGCTGTCACATGTGTTAAATGCTCTTGTTAGAATCTAACTTGGCATTTTAAGGCCTTGCAGTCACAAGCTGTATTTTTCATGATTTACATTTTCATTTTTTAATGCAGAGCAGATTGGACAGGAGATGCTTGAAAACCTCAGCCATGACAGAGAGAAGATCCAGCGTGCTCGGGAAAGGGTATGTTTGATAATAAGTAATTGCTGATTCTGCATTTTATTTGCATTGGGCAAGTTCTTTGTGCATGCAAAAATAGTCCAGATGAGATATAATCACCATCTGCAGTGGAGAACTTACAAAGTGTCTTACATGGGCCCCATCCTGCCGAGTCTCTGCGATGGGCAGTCACACTGTAGTCATCAAATCTGCTGCTGGGAGCAAATTTTCTGTCACTATCACAGGTCAGCGTCCTGTCCTTTGAAGGGTTTGTTACACTGTCCATTCCAATGACTTCTTGGGCTTCCTATGAAACAGCTGAGTATCATAAGTGAGCTTCTAATAGCTGAGCAACCTTACTCTTTGTAGCTGCAGATGCAAATAACAGCCCCTGGGGCAGGTCTGTGTGAGGAGCAGGTACTGCTGCTCTGTCTCTGCAGCCAAGGTAACATACCTGTGTCATTTTGGCTCATGCAGCTTCCACGGGGATCAGCTCCACTGTGCAGTTAATGGAGATGCTCAGAAGCCCGTCCCATCCAACGTGTACAAGTGCTCTGACTTCCATGTGGGAGCCCAGCCTTTCTGTCTCTGGTTTTTGCTCATGTCCATGTTCCAATACTTTCCCAAGTGTCCAATTTTTACAAAGCCAGGTTCTCCCACACATTTATTAACTGACCAATGGCACTGAAAAAAACCTGATATGTCCCAGGGAGTTTCTTCACTTGGATAGCTTTGATAAGTAAAGCTTCCTATAACAGCATTAATGTGGCATTTTCTGCCAGCTGGACCAGTTGCTTTCTGATCTGAAGTGCTGGGCATTAGCTACTTTAAAACACTAGATATAGCTAGATCACTAAATGTAACTACGAATTGTGAAGTTTTGTTCTGCCAACTTGGTGTCATATTTCACCTCCACTTCTTATATCTCCAGTCACTGCTGAGTCTGAAATGCTTTTCTGTTTCTAGCTGAACAAGTAAAATCTAGGCAATGGAAATAAATGCCATGTACTCCTTTCTGCTGATCCTGTATATCCCAGGGATGTAGTTCTGATCACTCAATGTATGCATGGTTCATAGCATAACTTTTAATTTTCATTGCTTTCCACCTGAGGAGCAAATTTCTTTGTAGGCAAAACCTGTAAGATGCAAAGAGCAAGATTAAAAATAATAAGGATATTCTAGGACAAAAAAAAAAAAACCTCTTGTCATAATGGAAGATCTCAACTACCAAGTTTTTTATCAGGAGACACTTAAATACTTAAAATATTTTCTTCAGGTAATTCAGAAAAGTTCTCCAATGGAGCCACATGAGTTGACCTGTTCCACCTGTCTTTATACACTCAGATGAACATTCAGGGGAGATCTTGGATAAGTTAGCTAGTTTTCCATTTGCTGGAGATTTTAAAAGACCAGAACAGAGGGGGCTTTATCAACGCATAATAGCTGTACATTAAATACATGGAGTTATTATCTTACCAACCAGGGAATAAACTTGTCTTCTGGAATTAAACTGTCACCATGAGTATGATGGTCAGCTTTAACAGTTCAATATTGAGAAAATTAGGAAAATTATTTTTTATAAGGAAAATTTGATAAGTTAATGTCTCAATGGTTTGGTTAAATTTACGTAATGAATTTTCCTGTCTGTAGAGTAAAACTCGTATTTTCTTCTGAAGGCAAAGAGAAGGGATAAAAGCTCTGGTACAAGTCAAATAGGTTAACTGGATTATACAGGACTTTAAAAGATGTAACATTTTTTAGGAAAATAATTTTTTAGAAAATTTGTCTAAGGCAGACAAGATATCAATGTCAGCATCTTGTTCATCTTCCTGTTTTCTCATTATTACTCTTACTATTATCTTTAAACACTATATAGAGTTGCTATTGCTAATATCATAGCCTGTTTCAAAATGTTTTCACTAAGGCAGCTTTTTAAGAGGTTCACTGACATTCCACCAGTTCCATTCCACACTTCTGTGGTGTGCTCGTATTGGTAAAGAAATGGTGGAACAACTGCAATCAGATAATTCAGTTTTAAATAAAAACAAACTTACAGTTTGAAACTCTTCATGTGAGGGTTTTTTTTTCTGCCAGAGCAGGAAGAAAAGGTGTTTTCTTAGCATTCTCTGGGGAGGTAGCTAGAGATTTTCCAACTATGTGTGTACATGTTTGTTTCTTTTTTAATGTTTCTTTCGCTTATTTTGTGGATTTTTTGTTACCATAAAAATATGAGGTCATCTTGCTTAGAGGAGTTTGTCAAACCCTTAAGATTCAGCTTCCCCTTCCTAACTATCAGCACTGATTCTAGCTGTCAGGTAGAATCCTGCAGCAAGATAGGAAAGTTAGGATCAAACATTTAATGGTAAAAAAGAGAGCTCTACTTTTCTGTGAAAAGGGAGGAGAAGCCCCAAGTGTTAAATGCATCTTTATGAATAATAAAAGACCAATGTAAAGCATACATTTGTACTTCAGATTCCCTTCTAGCATAGATAAAAACTTGGCTTTTTAATGAGCCTTTTAAAAATTATTGTGACATTTTTTCTGCTGTTACTTGTGTCAAACTGGGCTAAACTGCTTTTCTGGAGCTTGAATTGTCTAGATGAATCAGGAAAAAATGAGGGAATGGCCTCCCTGGAATATAATACTCATCTTTGTTCCATCATAGCACATAATTACAGAGATCTGAGAGTTATTGCAAGCCTTTCCACTGAATATGATATTGCTAAGAGCAAGACTTGATTGGTGTTATCCAGTCCCAGCTTCTACTTGGTATTTTCTTAACAGCTTTTAGAAGAGTAAGGGGGAAATTTATGCAAAAAGGTTATGTGACACTGATTGTCACATCACCTACTGATTTCAGTAATAAGCATTAAATCTGGCAGCAAATATTTACAGTATTGTGCTCCAGAATAGAGACTGGGTTTAATATTGCTGCTGTTCAAATATTCAAGATATAATAGTGGTTTGTTATGGTGAAGGTGATTTGTTGTTGGAAGACTGCCACACTCCTTGGCAGTGTTACTGTTTTGATGGACTTGTAACACAGGATGCATTTTGTCTACTACAACAAAGTTTTTCAGTAAGAAGTCAATGACTCAGGTAATCCTTCCAATCTGATTTGATAATGAAGAAGTAAATATTCAGCTTTCACAAGAAGAATGTTTTTATGTATGTACACACAGCTGTGTTTTGGGGCATGTTAGAAACAGTGGTCCCTGCTATTTCATAGCTGAAATAGTCATAACCATTACATTATCTTCTTACAGTAGATTTTGATGTCCCACTGGTTCCAAGATGTCTAAATGTCAAAAGATGTCTCTCTTCTAGCTGCCAGTGGCAAAAGAGGTGACAGGAAAGTAACTCCATTCTTCCTACAATCTTCTAATTTCTAGATTTCCTTTTGTGGGACACTAATAAACAAAAAGAGAGGGGACGTTTTAATTCCTTTTAAAAAGCAGTAGAAATAAACATGAAGTTAATTTGCTTCATAACTTTTCATTTACTCTATTTCATTTTTACCTATTTTGCAATATTTTTGAGAGCTGTAGAACAAGACTGCTAATTAGGTAATTAGTTGTAAACTGTATGTTTCCTTTGTCCTAATAAACTACAGAAATGGTCGTTTCAGGGAGTGAGAGTTCCTTACATGAAAAAAACCCAGCATATATATTGTACAGCTGTTCCTCCTGGACATGTATATATACTATTCACAAAGCATTTGAGCACCCAGGCCAGAGGTGGCTGCTGTAAGATCAGTACAAGGTTTTTATTTAAGGGGCAGTATAGACATATTTATTTGACACAGAATTGCTAAAGTGATATATTTTGTGCTTGTTTCTTTCTTTAAACTGCAGTCTTTGAAAAACAGTGAAAGAAAGATATGTCTTTCTTTTCATAAAGCATCAGGAACATGGCTGTCTCTTCATCCCTTGATCCTTTCACTAGTGTACACAAACAATACACATACACATGGGACTTATGGATTCCAATGTATAGAGCTTCTACCTCCAACCCTTTATTTGTAAAGCTTTTGCTCTTTATCCTGACTCACCTTTGTTGCCTCAATGACTTCCCTTGCCTGGGTTTCATATTTATGTAAGTGAAAACAAGACAAGGTATTTTAACATTTCAGAGCTTTGGTGGCTTTACAAGCTTGTTGTGTGCTAAAGCTGAAGCTAACTGACTCAGGTGACTGTAGAAACCCCTGTCCTTCGTACAGCATGTGCTACGTGTGCCTTTTGCCTTTAACAGGACTCTTTTCTCCCCAGCTTAGAGAAACAGATGCAAACCTGGGGAAGAGTTCCAGGATTTTGACGGGAATGTTGCGAAGGTAAGGCCAAGGTAGGGACATTTCTGCTCTTTCTTTTCTTCTTCTCTCCCTCCATGCCTTTATTTTCAATTTTACTTCAATCTCAACATTTTGCTGGTGCACCTGACTTTTTTTTACCCAGGCTGCTGTGTAGAATGTCTTTGGATGATAGAAGGCTTTGTCATGCCTATGGAGAGAGTTTTCTGAACCTGAAGGATAGCCCTTGTGTAATGATTTCTCATCTTTGTTTCTTTGTATTTGTTTGTGGGGTTTTGGATGTATGTTCTAAAATTAACATTTTTGATGATGATTTTCTCTGTTTCCTATTCTTGAGTGATTTCTGTGTTTTGAGGGGGGGGTTTTGCCTGTTAAAATGAGAAAGTTGGTAAATGTTTTGGGGCAGCATAAATTTTCTATGCAGAAAAAAGGTTAAAATTATCAATTTCTGCCTAAATAGATGGGGCAGACACACTGTCAACCCTTGCGGTTTTAGCACATTTTTTCCACGCTTTCCATGTTATGAAAATTGTCTTTGGGATCAAAATGAGGTTATATGAAAAGGAAAATTGTGCAATGTGCTAAAATTCTATGTGGGACTCAAGGGAAGGAGTTATCCACTGATTATTTCTCCCCTTAAATTTGCATCGGTGCATTCTCAGACAGATTTTTTTGAATTAGAGGCACCTCTGGATATGTGTTCTTTACCCAGTGAAACAGCACCTGAGCTTCTCTGTGATGTCTATATTTCTGTACATATTCAGTTTCCTAAAGAAGAAAAGCATCCCTCTAATAAGCAGTGCTGGGTGCTAAGAAAGCACAGTTTTAAAGGAGTTTAATGCAGCCTCTGAAGAGTTCAGTCTGAAATTACCCTTGCCACAGGCTTTTATGTTGTGTGTTTGCTTAGTGCATTTTGCTTATAAAAAAAAAAAAAAAGAAAGAAAAAAAGAGGAGAAACTTTTAGCAGAGTCGTTGTTGATTTGTCACTTGGCTTAGGAAATGTGAAAACTGGAATTTTATAAGTTGTTCTTTAGCACAAGCTTTATTTCTGCGTAAGTATCCTCAGCCTTTGTTAGTTCCTTGTATACTAAATTGACAAAGGTTAAAGTGACTGAACCTGGTGCCTTCATTCCACAGATTTCTTACAATTCCAACTCTAAAATGTAACATATAAAATTCTCTGATTAAGAGTAATATGTAAATGACACAAGCTAAATTCAAAATCCATGGAGGAAGGAAGTGGCAATTGAAAGGGATGGTTCAGTGACTGTAGACAATCAAAATAAACTATAAAAAAACTGAAGGAAAAGAAAAGACACCAACCAAACCCAAGTCTCCCCCGGAAGGGCTCTGCGACATGAGCTGTAACGAATATTCTGCATATGTCTCCATTTTGTCAAATCTCATTAAAGGGGTTTCTTGCTTTATGTCAATTGAGCTGTCCAAAAATCATTCATCATTTTAGTGTAAAAAAAATCATGCAGTTATTTAAATAATATCATATTAATGTTAAAGTTCAGCTGTCATTTAATAGTATGGCTTAATCAGACATAGCATTTAGGAAAAATAGTTTTTTCGGGCTTTACTTGGCTTTCAGGTTGGCAGATTCAAATAAGGATTTATGGGTTTCTAAACCAATGTATTCTTTCCATGTTTATGCTTGAGGTACCCCAGTCTTTTTTGCAGCACCCTGTAGTCTGTTATTTTCAATAAAATAAAGTATCTCCTCATATTGTGTTTGAATACATTTGCAAGTAATTTGGAGAAGCTGAAACAAAAACATATGCTGTAACCTTTGACTTTGTTTTGTGTTGGGAATCACAGTTAGGAGTCCTAGTTTATAAGTGTTCCATAAGCCAAATGAAAAATAAGATCTTTCTGAGATACACTTGGGCTCTTCTTTTCAGACAAAAGGATTATGTAGTCGAACACCATGATGGCATGTTTCTATGTGTCAGAACAGCACTGGATTACCTTTTTCTTCAACAAAAATGCTGAGCTGAGTCACCCATCTAGAACAAAGTCAGGTTAGGATTTAAGCTCAGGTCAGGTAAATGTGCCAAAAGCAATGCCAGCATAGAAGCAGCTTTCAGTAGACAATTCTCAGGATGTTGTTTGAAACCCCATAATTGATAGACCTACAGTGAATTTAATTTGTTTGTGACTGTTGAGTAGAAGGGTCTAGCATTATCCCAGCCTCAGCATCATCCCAATTTGTTTAGTTACAAGAATAATCATGAAATATAGACCCCAAGAAATCAGTATGTATTAGATAAAAACAACTGCAAGAAATAGAATTAGCACAGATTGGCAGTTGTTTCCTAATTTCTGCATACTTCAGTACACACCACACAATATTTTACATAATTACTGGAAGCAATAAAAGCAAACACTGGAGGACCATCTCCACATCAATATTATACAGAAAAAGAAATGTTAAATTTAATATTGCTCAATATAGTGGCTGTTCCCACAGTCTATATTTGCTGATATGCTTGAAGTCATATGCTATGCTAACACTCTGTGCTTCAAATTAATGCCTAACTCTTTCTAATTTTACTGTCTGGGAAAGGTAAAGCAGCATCTTTTGAATCTGGCTGAATATATTAAGAGATCATGTATTTAGATAGCTAGAGGGCTAAATTACTGCCTTTGTATGACCTAAATTCCCTGGCTATGTGTTTGTGCATAAAATGTTCTGGAGATGGGGAGTAAAAGCAGAGACAGGTTTTGTAGGTGGCCATAGCTCACTATAGAAATCAGTGGCATAACAGGGACAGGACCTCCTATTCCAGTTTGCTGCTCCAGCAATAAGGTACCCAGCCCTATGAACTGGAATTTGTTGTCTCACAAGATTTTGGGGGTGTGGGTAAGAGTATTTTTGTCATAAGTGTTTTTAAGTATTCTCACATACAAATGACCTATTATACTTCATGATCTTTTTTTTTTTTTTTTTTCTGTAGCAAATACTTAGGTTCCATTAAGCTAATATATTCCTCTTATGGCATGGCATTACTAGAATCAGGGGAATGGCTTCAAACTGAGAGTATATTTAAATTAGAAATTAGGAAGAAATTCTTTATTGTGAGTGCAGTGATGAGACATGGGGGTTCAGAAAATTAACTTAGAGTAGAAATTAATTTTCAGATTTCGATGAAGTGTGCAGTTTTTGTCCATGAGGCACTGGAATGGGTTGTCTCAGGTCTCTATCCCTTGGCCTGTACCCCAGTGTGAACTGGGGAGCTCACAGTGTACTAGAAAGAAGTAGAAAAGAATGTGTTCTGGAATATCTTCAGGGTTTTGCCCATATCCTAAGCCAATAGCCTAGAAAAACTTATAAGAAAAGAATTTGGAAAGTCTCCAAGCCACACACAGCCCAGTGGGAAACAAACAAACCTAAAAGTAACCAGCTAAAAATTTCAGTAGATATGAATCTTTTTTCAATTAGCAGATAAGTTGTGTCTACCCCCTTCAAATTGCGGGAAAATATTTTAGAAGAATGGCTGCTACACTCCAGAACAACTTTTTATCCTGTCTGGTTCACCAGGAAATTTTTGTTTTAAAAATACTCTTTTAATCTTCATATTTCAGTGTTCTGAATTGTTGTCAATGATGTTTTGAGAAGCTTATGAACACATCTGCATTTATGAAAGAGACTTTTAAAATTTGATTCCCAACAGGTCAGAGGCACTACCTCTGTTTGATAGAAATGAGGCAGTAAGGGTTCAGTTCAGCTCTCAGGTAATAAGTTATGTGACTTCCCAGTGGCTGCATGACCAATATGACTTCAGTCAGAAATGGAATGTGAGTTCTGGTGAAGCTTTTTCGCTCCTTCCAGGAAAATTCTGGGAGTTCTGTTTCTTGTATCATTGCTAGTCAAAATTTCTTCTACTTTTTAGGACCTTGCAGTTACTTTTCAACATTTCACGGACTTGTAGGACAATTCAGGTTGGAAGGGACCCCTAGAGGTCATCTGGTCCAACCTCCCGTTCAAAGCAAGTCTCATTAGAGTAGGCTGCTCAGACTCTACTCCAGTCACATTTCAAACACATACAAGGCTGGAGATACCAATGTCTGTGTGAGCAATCTGTTCCAGTAGCAGCTTAAATAAGCAAATCCTCCAGGCATCTCACTGAAATATCCCAGCATCCAACTTGTGCCCATTGCCTCTGCTCCTAAGCAGAAGTGATTTTCAGAATTGGCCTTCAGAGTTTGGGCCTGGGTTGCAGTTATTTCTCGCAGTTCTCATACAGCTTCAGCAGTGGTAATGTTGTGTTCATTGGGCTGAGGGGACACTCGGTGTAGGGCAGTTCTTGAAGCAGGACATGGGGTGCTCTGCCTCCACCCACTGACCTGGGCCGTGGCCATGCACAGACTTCTTTATTGCCTTCTCTGGCTCGTAGAGATGTGCAAAGTTAAAAATGTCTGTTCTGCCTCCTTGCTTGGCTACAAAGCCCAGATCTCCATATGTTTAGAACAGCAGTAGGGACAGTCATGTCCCTGTGGACACAAACCCAAACAAAGAGTGAGTGTTACCACTGCCTTTTTCCCTATTTCCCTACCAATCTCTGTTTCCAAAAGTCCATGACAAAAACTGATTTTCTTCTGAGCGAAAGCCTTTTTCAGTCATACTTGGCCATGCCTGTTGAGTCTCTGCAGTTTTCTGAAGGCAGGTCTTTGTATCACCAATCCAGAGTGGGGTTTTAAGATACAGCTACGTTTGCTTTTTTTTCATACTAATAGAGGAGTTCCTCTTTCCAGGATATTTGGTCTCAAGCCAGAAGAAGTTTGAGTAGGAATTGTTTCTGCAACCTTTTTGTACATATATTTCTACTTTTACTTCAAGATGTATTTCTATACTGAAAAAAAGACTGAAATGGTAAATTCTCAAGCAAAATGTCTGCTCCATGTTGAATATTTAGAACTGCAGCTGTTTACTTCACTAATTTAGACTTTGGTTCAGGAGCATATTTAAGCATATAGTTAACTCTAAACCAGAGGAGCAGTTCCTTTAACTTGAGGGAGAATGAATAAG